AGAGGGAACACAAGCAGGGGGAGTGGGAGAGGGAGAAGCAGGCTTCCCACAGAGGAGGGAGCCTGATGCTGGGCTCGATTCCAGGACCCTGGGATCATGACCTGAGCCGAAGGTAGACGCTTAACAACTGAGCCACCCAGGCACCCCATTTAGTAGTGTCTTTTGAAAGAAAGATTGAGTGAATGGGTGGGTGGATGGATACTACCCCTTGCTTATCTCTGCTTATTGATCTTAAAGATAAAGTAAAAATTCCCATAGTAACCCAGCAAGGTAAGCACTTCCCATTAGCTTTCTAAAACAACTCCCAAGTGTGTCTTAAATACATTTTCAATTAACAAATCTGTGTAATAGCTCTGACAAGATATCGTTTTAGAAATAAAATACTTCCTCTTCCTGGCCAAGCCTCAGAAATTTTTGTGACTTTATATAATATCCAGTTCCATATGAAAGGAACTGTAGCATTTAATAGTCAGATGACAAAAAATTAATAAATTCTGAATTTAAAATTTTCCATTTTTAACTTTATTAAAATGATAAGTTATGAGGGCTCGATCACTACTTTCTTCTTATGGAGTCCAGCAATATTTTGACCTTTTCAATCTCATTCAATAAGCATTACATTTCTCCTTTCTCATTTTCCTATGTGGTACAAAGAAGAAGATGAGAGACGTGAAACATATGTGACTGAATAGGTCAACCTCCCAAACATGCTGAACTGAGGAGGTTGCTTTCAGAATTACATTTTGGCTAATTTTGTAGGCTGAATTTATTTTCATTTGTGACATTCTGTTACCATGGAAACATACTGTAAATACCAGATTTCAAATTGTGCCCCCTTTGAGGTCATTAATTCACTCTTCCTCTTATGTCCATTTACCACAAGCAAGGGCCAGATCTAAAATAAATCATCTGGAGGCTTAGCTACACTTTGGAATAAATGAACTAGCTGATACTAAATTTAGTACGGTGTCCAGTAGCACAACAGATCTTCTGGTTTATTCTTTGCAGTTGGTTGAAGTACAAAAGGGACTTAAATATCAAGTGTGTATTAGAAGGAAATAAAAATACATAAAAATCTGAGTCATGCTGTCTCTTCATATTTTAAATGATTGAGTAGAAAGCATGTAGTGCTTGTGTGAATCAGAAAGAAAGGGTTGAAAATTATATCATATGATGCTGGCATGTAGGGGGAATACAGGTGCAGTATACATTTTAATGCCTTTTGTAGAAGAGGACTTTGATCCTGGAGACATGCTGATCAATGATACTCATTTTGACACCACTGAGCTTTGGAGTTGCACAGAGGAATAAAAAGCTGAGGTTGGCATCGGTAATAAAAGGAAAAAAAGTGAGCTGTTCCTGACCCTTTGGAAGAGCGAGGCAGTTTCAAAAACACAATTATATGTTCAGTGGTTCATACAGGTGTATCTTTGCCTATTCTAAACCAACAAAATCAAAGAGACTGTTTAAACAACGTCTAAGGAACAGCATTTCCTTGTATCCTGACAACACAGGTTATTTACGATAATGCTATAAAAAAAATATCTTAGTTATTGCATACTGGCTCATAGAAAATGACACCAACTATGTTTCTCAAACTTTAGAAAATAAAATGGCCCTCTTTCCAACATGGAAACTGGAAACTGCCCTAGCCTCTTCCCATAAGTGTCTCTGGAAACCTTTATGTTTTCCTTATGTGTAGATGAAAACATTGATTAGCTTTATTAACTGAATATTGATCTCAATTTTGGACCAAGGCACTGGCAGTTCGAGAGCTTTGACAACCTTGTCCTTTTGTAAATGCGCATAGTTTCTGCAGCAAAGGCAAGCAGCTCTTATAGCTGGGCTTTTAATTAGGTCTCTTGGGGGTCAATGGAAGAATGTTGGATGTGCCTGAGAGAATTTAATGATAAGATGTAACTCTGAGGGAATTTGTGTCAGAAAATAAAGTTTGTAAGGAAGAGAAAAAGAAAGAGAAAGAAAACTTTTTTCAACATTCTACTTTTAATCAATTTTCCAAAATTCATCTTATAATTAAGAAAATTAAAAGTTGTGGGAAATTCTATTCTATTAACCATATCCTAAAATCTTTCTGTATGTGCTAAAGATTTTTTCCCCTGGCCTGATCACACTGTAATGCTGTTTCACCAAAAATAATAGTAACATCAAATATTGGGGAGGATACGGGGAGGAACTGGAACTCTTATATATTGTTGTGGGAGTAAAAATAGTACAAACACTTAGGAAAACTGTTTTTAATTTCCTAAAAAGTTAAACGTATGCATACAGCAAATCTCCACACACACACACACACACACACACACACATCTCCAAAAATTGAATAAGAATGTTTCCGGCATCTACATTCATAAAAGCCAAATTAGGAACAGTCAAGCATCCATTAGGAGGATAATGGATAAACAAATTGTGGAATAATCATACAACTTTAACAATAAAAAAGACAAACTATGATTCATGCAACAACATGGATAAAAGTTAAAATAATACTGTCAATCAAAAGAAGGCAGTCCCAAATTGTACTGAACTCCAAGAGCAGAAAAAATTAACCTATGGCAATAGAAGCCAGAATATTGATTAACTTTTGGGGTTAAAGCAATTTACTGAGAAGAGGGAACAAGGGAGCTTTCCAGAGTTCAACTTTCCATATGAAAATATTCTATATCTTGATCTGGGTGGTTTTGCATGGATAGTAAATATTCGCTTAAGTCAACATTTACTTTAGATTTGAGAATTTTGCTGTATGCAAATTTTACCTCAATTAAAAAAACATTAGTGAAAAATAACAAAATGAGAATAATTTATCTAAGAAAACCCCTTAATTTTATTGAAGCATCTAATATATTAAGAGTTGAACTAAAATGTACATAAAATGATTAACATATAGATTTATTACATTAAAATAATAAATTATAATTTGTGGAACAAATTAGCATATGCAATTAATCAGCTTCAAAATTATTCTCTAATAAAAAAGAAAGTGCAAATAAAAAATACACATAAAGTAAAAAAAAGCAAATGTCTTCTAAATATATAATCTTACCATCTGCTTTGCTGCCTTCTTCCATCAAGAGTTTTGCAATATTAAAGAATCCTTTTGCAGATGCTAGGTGGAGGGGCCTATCTCCAACTTCACCACTTACATTTACATCAGCACCAAATTTCAAAAGAAGGCGGGTTACCTAAAGAATCCATTCATTTGAAATTAGTACCAAAAGTCAAACAATAATGCAAAGCTTTCAAAAATATGGAAGAAGACGTATCATTAAAGTGTTCTCTTAGATTATTTTTACCTGAAAATAACAGAAAACCCTAACCTGATTGGCTTAAACAATAAGGAATTTATTATTATATCACTTAACAAGAAGTCTAAAACTGGAGAAATTTCAGGGTTAGTTCTTCATTGTACATAAATAATCCTCCCTAAAGTCACCCATTATCTTCCCTAAACCATCTTTTCCAAAGTCTTCTTCTGGCCAGAGCCAGCAGTGTTTACTTGATTCTTGATTTTCACAGCAACTCCATGCATAACGGGTCACTGATGGTCATCTTGCTACTGGAGTTCTGGGTTCTTTTCTAGATTTGTGGGTAAATGGGAAATAGCTGCACTCGATCACAGCATCTTCCTCAATTAGCTGAGATCCACATTCAAAGGGAGAGAGAGATGAAGTATTAAACAACTTAGGAGTCTTCCAGGGATTGTTTCAGGTAATTTATAAGATTTCTTTAAATTATTTACCTATTCACTTATAACCTTCCAAATAATTTCTCTAAATCTGACATCGTCTCCTCTGGCCATTTCAGAAGTCAATACAATGATCCCAAGAGGTAAGTTAGAATGAATCTGTGCCATCAAAATAACAGTTATGGGAGGAACCCTCAACTGACCTGACCACTGAGGTGTTAGCATAAAAGTGAATTCAAACCCTAAATCTATTTTGGCTTTCTATGTGGTAGCAAATAAATATCTCTAGAATATGGTACATATTTGATAGAAATTCTAGGCAAAATTTAGCAGTGTGGGATGTGGTGAAATTTCCTATTGAAGGTAGGTAAAGAATAAGGGTTCTGAAGTTAGATTTTATCACCTTTAATAAATTATTTGACCTTTCAAAACTTCAGTTTCTTCATTATTAAGATGGGAATCACAATAGCTCCACTTCAAAGAGTTGTTACAAGGATTAAATAAGTTATCATATGTAAAACACTTAGAAAAGTGCCTGGCACTCAATAAATGCTAGCAGGAGTGGTAGCACCAATGTGGAACATGTGTATTTTATCCATTTATTTGTTGGCTAATGGGCAGACCAATACTTAATTCAGAAGAAATTGGAACAGTAAAAGTTAGTCTCAAGGACTGTGCATGCCTAAGCAGACATTTCCACTTACAAAGACTCCATGAATTCTGGTTATGTGACTTTATAATGGACAGCTTTAAACTATCTTTGAAATCGATTGTCTATTAAGCACTATTATTATATAGCTAAGAAATATTGCTCTTGGTACAAAACATCTACTCTTCCACTTAAAAATAAGTAAATAAACAAATGGCAAGGAACATGGAACATTAAGCACATTTATATATCGAATGTACCATTCTCCTGTCAGCATATTTTAGCAAATGACAATAGCATCCATAAATTACTTATGTGCTGTCTTCGCACACCGAAAGTGAGTCCCTTATCATAAAAAGGCCATCCACATTTTAGCATAATTTTATAAGACTGTGACTATATATTCAGGGAAAGTAAACAAATTTAGCTCTCCACCCAACATGCATAGAAGCTCTTTATGTTTCTGTGGGTGAGGAGGTTAATCACCAAAGAGGGTGACTCTACAAATAGCATGCATTGTGTACATCTGGTCTGTGCCTAAAGTCAGGAGTATGGAATTTTTCATCATCTGGGCTTTTAGACCCTGTGCTTTCTGAAGCATTTTCAGTGCCCAGCTCTCTAGTACACTCCAGTGCACTCTGAGCAGCACATCAAATGAAATGAGAAATCTTTCCTAGCTAGGTCACGCTTCATGGGTCTGAGAGTGTCCAAGCATATGCTAGCCAGCAAAGAAATAAAGGCACAATGACTAGAAGAGCACATAGACACAAATAAGTTTGATTTTTAACTTGGAATCCTCAGGCAGGACAATGGCATGACCTCTACGAAGACAAAAATGTATAATTTTACTCCATAACTGAGTAAGACTAGAGATCTAGAGATACAAAGTGAGGAAGAGTGAAAACAGGATGTCAAAAGAACAGTTAAGTTTTGATTATCCAATTACAAGTGTATTTCTGTTTTATTTGGTTCTATTTAGTTTCTTAAGAGTAGCTAAATGGCGATGTTTAAAAGTAGCACATAAAAATTTTGTCTTTCAATATGTTAAGGTTAAAAATCAATGGACTTAGTTTGTCCTAGGAGGTACATCACATAGGCTTTCTTTTCTGTAGACACCGTGGTTTTTAACTCATTAGGCATCTACCACTTTGGAAAAGTTTGACCATTCCATAAGATGTTAAACATAGTGTTACCATATAAGTCATCAATTCCACCCCTAGATGTACCCAAGAGAAATGCAAACAGATGTCTATATCAAAACTTGTACATGAGGTGGTGGGGGGGAATGGGTGAAATAGATGAAGGGGATTAAGAGTACACTTATCTTGATGAGCACTGAGAAATGTATAGAATTGTTGAATCATTATATCATACACCTGAAAGTCACATAACAGTGTATGTTAATTATACTGGAATAAAAAAACTTGAATGTTCAAAGCAGCATTATTCATAATAGCCAAAAAGTGGGGAAAAAATCCAACATCCATCAACTGATGAATGAATAAATAAAATCTGGCATATCCATACAACAAAGTAGTATTCCACACTAAAAAGCAAGGAGGTACTGATGCATGCTATAAAGTTGATGAAACTTAAGAACACTGTGCTAAGTGAAAGAAGTCAGTCACAAAAGACCATATGTTGCATGCCTCTACTTATAGGAGGTCTCCAGAATAGGTAAATCTTTAGAAACAGAAAGTATATTAGTATTTTCCTCAGGCTGGAATAGAGAGGTTGGGAAGAAGTTGGAAGTGCTACTGTGTGCAAGGTTCCTTCTGGGGGTAATGACTTTGTTCAATTAATTGTCGTTATGGTTGTATACTCTGAATATACTAAAAACCACTGAGTTGTACAATTTAAATTTATCTCAATAAACTTGTTACAAATTTAAAAAATCAATGGACTTTGGAGTTAGAGCACCTGGCCTTGAATAACCAGCCCACCGTTTAAGCAAATTTCCTGGACTTTCTGATTTGTTTCACTGATAGAAGAAGAAGAGGCTCCTAGGTACAACAGAATAACTTTGGGCTTTGGGATCAGACAGGCCTGAATACATATTTCAGCTCCTCTAACAAGCTGTGTGACTCTGGCCTGGTACCTGACCTAAGTGAGCTCATATATATCATTGAGATGTATATCATTGACAAGAAGATGCAAATAACTAATTTTAGGACTGTGGAAAAATTACAAAAAAAAAAAATCCACATAAAATGCTTGTCCCAGAGTATGGGATCACTTACATGGTAATTCTTACCAAGTTCATCAGGTTTTCGTGAAGGTCAAATAAAACTATTCATTGAATGAAGGCACACTGTAAACATTAAAACATCCTATATATATTATTACTTTATTACAGAATATAAAATTTTATAAATAATTACCTGTTATATAATTATGTATTTAAATCAAATTATATTTAAAGCACATATGGTGATTTTTTAAAAAAATTATCTAGGTTATTCCATGTGTTAGTTTCCCACTGTTGTAAATTGGATTATTGGATTAAAACAGCACAGATTATTCTCTTAAAGTTCTGGAGGTTATAAAACTAAAATCAAGGTGTTGGCAGATTGCATTCCCTTTGGAGGCTTTCATTTCCTCACTTTTTCAGCTTCTGTAGATTGCCTGCATTCTTTAGCTTGTGACCCCTTCTTGTATCACTTAAACTTCTTGCTTCTACTATCACATCTGTTTCCTGCTCCCTATTATAAGGACCCTTGTGATTACATCAGGTCCACCCAGATAATTCCAGGATAATCTCTCCAACTCAAGATCCTTAACTTGATCACATCTGCAAAGTCCCTTTTAGGATACACACAGGTTCCAAAAATGAAAATATGAACATATTTGCAGTCTACCACATCCAAAGACAGTAGAAAAGAAGAAACTCAAGTTTCTGAAAGACACATTTTTTTTTTTTTTTTTACCTGCTGGGACAGTGTTCATGATTTGTTTTATTGTTACTGTCACTAGCATCATCATAGTAATTGAGCATTTGCCAAACACTTTAAATTAATATCTCATCATATCAGCAACCCTATGAGGTAGGTATTATCAATATTTTCTCTATTTTGCAGATGAAGAAACTGAAGATCAGGCAGGTGATATAACCTACATATGGTCACAAAGCTAGGAATCTTTCAAATTCAGATTCATTGATTCCTGGGATTGTATACTTACTCTGCTGCCTCCCTTGGGTACTAAGACAGTCAGTAAAAATGAGTAACTTGACAGATGCAGGATTTCTATGGATCTATAAGCTCCTCATGAGTGGAGCTGATGAGAATATGGCAAAAATAATTCAAACGATATCTTAAATATTCTTTCTTTGAGGCTAGGACATATAGTTCAACAAAAGCCTGGAAAGGTCCCCCAGCCTTTGGAAATACTCTTGTCAGACTTACCTGTTCATGTCCATAATATGCTGCAATGTGCAATGGAGTGAAAAAAACTGCATCTTGAACATTGACATTAGCTCCATGTTGCAGCAGGACGTCAGCAGCCTGGACAAGAAAGAGAGCTCAGTTAAGACCTTGATTTGGGGCATCTGCCTATCAAAATACATTTTACAACCACCATGCACAATGCTTCTTCAGAAATCACTATCCTGAAAGAGTTTCCTTCCATCTCCCTTCTCTGAAACCTCTGATCGCTTGTTTTTGTCTCGAAAATGAAGACCAAACCCCTTAGCATGGGTTTCAAACGTCTTCTCAATCTGACAGTATTCTTTTTAAATGAATTTTTTTTAAATGAATTTCCCATTACTCTCTTTCATAAACTCAATTATGTAGTAAAACTGCATCCCATTTCCTGCTCCTTTGAGCCTTTGTTCACATCATCTCCTCAGCAAGGAATTATCTCTTGCCCAATCTACAGATATTTAAACCCAAGCTAAATACCTTCTCCTCCAAGATTTCTTTGATTTTCCTCCCTTCACTGACAATTGACTTGCTGAAATTGTCTTCCTTCTTCATAAATCTCATATAACTTCCTTTCATGCCATATAGAACATTTAAAAAATTATATGCATGCTTTTCATCTATACTAAAGAACAAATCCTTTAAGGACAAAGTACATCAGGTTCATCTTTATAATCCTGCCCTGGCCTGTTGTCATGCAAATAGTAATCATTCCATAAGCATTTGTTGAATGAATGAAGGGATGAGTGAATGAATGAATGAATGAATGAATGAGCAACTGAAAAACATAACGTGCTGTTGGCCAACTGTCTTCATGGAAAATTATCGATTGTAACAAATCTGCTAACCCTTCCAAATTTCTTCTCCTCCCAAAGACCTATTTCTTTTTTTTTTTTTTAAAGATTTTATTCATTTATTTGACAGAGAGACAACAAGTAGGCAGAGAGGCAGGCAGAGGGAGAGGGAGAAGCAAGCTCTCCGCTGGGCAGGGAGCTGGATGTGGGGCTCGATCCCAGGACCCCGGGATCATGACCTGAGCTAAAGGCAGCTGCTTAACTGACTGAGCCACCCAGGCGCTCCCCAAAGACCTATTTCTAAGTCTCTTCTCTGGAAAATTGATTGGAATCATTTCCTTCAGATGTGCTCATTTTTATTGTGGATTTTAATGCATTGTCTATTATTCATGTGGTCAAATAATACACATTTGGGAAAATTTTCAAAAGTTTGTTAGACTTAGAAGAGAAAACAGGAAGATGGGATCTAAAAGCTCAAAGGACTTACGCTCCAATACCTCTTCTATTCCAATAAACAAATTGCCTCCTCAGTCAAGTTTCCTTTCCTGTTTGAATCATAACCCTTCAGAACTGGAGAGGGACCATGGGCAGACATTACATATCAAACCCCTATTTTTTAAAGACGAAGAAATTGAAAATGAGAAGGAAGAAGTTGAAAATGAGAAGTAGGAAATTTCTGAGTCATGTAGCAAGTCAGTGTCAGCACGGAATCTTTAGTCTCTTGCCTCAAGCTTTGTTTCTGAGTGCTCCATGGTTTTAAATAGTTTATTCATTCAATCATCCATTTATTCATGTATCAACACACAATTTATTGAGCATGTCTGAGCTAAAACTGTGTTGTTTTACATGCTTAGTCTCAGAATTTATTCAATCAGCATTAGAACTGATTGTCATACAAAGATAAGGAATTCTTTTTTTTTTAAAGTACAAAGACGTTTATTGAAACATTATAATAGTAAAGAAAAATGTAATGTTCTTTGTGGAAATAATATTAAATAAGTTCTCAAAACTATCACTTTTTTATTAAATTGGAAGGGGGTCCATGAAATACCTTTAAGTTAAATAAGCACATGCATTCTTATATATATTATGTATGGTTATGAATATATATACATATGTACGTATATAAAATGATAATTTTAAAGGATGGAAGGAAATATACCAAAACATTAATAGTAAATAGTTATATAAGGGAACTTCAAATTTTTCTGTTTCACAATTTTTACCATGATTCATATTACCAGGAAAATATCTTCCATTTTGAAACAAAAATTAGTAAGAAATACCAAATTTTAGTATTTTGGACAGTGACTTCACTCATATTTTTATTCTTGTCTTTCCAATGAAATCACTGTTCTAAATAAATACTTACACTATCAATGAGCAGCCGTAAAATAGGGGACTTTTTAGAGCTTGTGAATAAAGTTGTGATTTAAAGCTAGACACACTTTTGATATTGGAGCCACAATAAAGCTGAGTTTTGATGGTTTTGAGAAAAAACTTCTACTAAAAAAGCAACATCTATAGTTCCAAGATATTTGAAATTCTTACCAAAGAAACTCCATACACATATAACAGGAAAAAATAATCAAAGTTATGTTTTTGATGGATTTGATGATTAATATTCAACAAAAATCAGAAGATAAAATACAATCAGTGACAATATGTTATAGATTACAGAATGACTGAGTTTAATGTTACAGGCTTTTCAACAAGTTTGGGCATAGCTACTCCTTTGCTCATATACATTTTCTAGCTATCCTATACAAGATCAAAGGATTGTGAATTTTCATTAGATTGATCGAAAGCAGCTGGATATGTTCTTTCTGTCAAAGATACACTTAGTATTTAAAAAAATTTTTTAAATTGTTTTTAATTTTCAAAATTTTTTTCTCCAAGATTTTCTTTAAATCCAAGTTAGTTAACATATAATATAATATTAATTTCAGACATAGAATCTAGTGATTAAAAAAGATAAGGAATTCTTGTTAGGACATCTGAAATTTCTGGTGGTTTCAAAAATATAAACAGGTGTTGGGGCACGTCGGTGGCTCAGTCAGTTAAGCATCCGCTCTTGATTTGGGGTCAGGTCATGATCTCAGGGTTGTGAAATCAAGCGCCAGGTAGGGCTCTGCGCTCAGCAGGGAGTCTGCTTGAGATTCTTTCTCTCCTTCTCCCTCTGCCCCTGCCCCCTGCCACG